ACTCATCATATTCATCACAACAAGTAAGTCTGCAATCTACTGTGTAAGGGCAATACTCTTGATCCGAATTGCACTCTGGATAAAGCACACAATATCCATCGACTAGATCATAAGCCCCCCTGCACTTAGTTGTTATGTTAACGGTTGCATTAGTACTGACTGTTGTTGGTCCTATAGTACTGATGGAAAGTGATATTGTATAAGGGTCAGTACCAATAGAGTAATTATAACAAAATGAAGATAATTCATAATACATATCTGGATAATTAATATCATTTTGATCAAGCATATTACATAAATTCCAATTATAAAGTATGCGGTCACACTTTGATTTAATAATTTCATTTGTGCATGTAAGATCTGTCGAAGTTGAGTCCGCATTAATGCATACTTTTAATTCATTTTTCCAGTCAAACACTTCACCTGTACATTGATTAGTGATGTTAGCTGTGAACTTAAGATAATCACAATCACACGAGACATTTTCAGAAGGGTTGAAATATTTAGTTGGGCTGAGTAATGGTAAATTAATAAATTGAACATTTAAATTCAGAAGACAATGACTGTATTCAACTGCTGATAGGGATCTAGGAACAATCGGCTCATTTTCATTCCTCATGCTAATAATACTAACATTGTTACTTATTAGTCGTTGTTCTAGTACAGTAGCTGTGTAAGTACCAGGTAAAAGGTATATAATAATACCTGACTTGCCTCCTCCTCCTCGGCCTCGACTTTGAGCAGTTGCTGCTCCTTGTATAGCTAGATCAAGAGTAGCACAAGGTGTTTGAACTCCTCCAGTCCAACAAGAGGTATTGTTGATACCATCAGATGAACTGACATAGATATCAGCAGCAGCAGATAAAACAGGAGAAAGAAATAGCAGAAAAATCCCAACACACAACATGATTGTGTTTGCCCAATGCTAATGGTAATATCCGGGACACGTACCGAAATCAACCAATCAAATCACATGTCCATTGCAATTACCACTCCCACGCCTTTTTATGCACTTGAGTTAGTGATGCTACCATAATTAGCAGCAACAGTATCGTCTTGAGGATCATATTCTACTGATAAATCATCCAGTTTAATAGGAACATTTAGTTCATCATATTATTTATACAATCAGGCTCAGCAATCCAATCTTCAACTCAGTAATTATTGCTAGATAATTTTCTTGTTTTTGTACTCTAATAGTGTGTCGGAATGTGTGATGCTTGTGGTACTTATACATCATCTTACATAATTGATATTATTATTATTACATAGATAAAAATACCACTGAAACATATGCATGAATTAACATGCCCAATGTAATAATACAAAGCAACATTAGTAATCTCCAGGGTTGGAACAGTTGTTATGCACATATGTATCACATATGATGTTATATTTTTAGAGTTTAATGCTGTTATTTACATTGCTCATTAGCAGTCTTCAAGTAAAAGAACAGGATAGCCCCTGCATGCATATAGTTACCAATGATTTCTTAATATTATTTTAGTTATTCAGTTATTTTATTACCAAGAGTACGTCTTGGTATTACTGTCCAGATAGTGTATAGCTTCAAAATTTTGTCAGTCAAAAATTAAAATTGTTCTGTTGTCAAAATTAGCTATTTTGTTCATACAGAACAGCAAGGGAGCAAAATTTTGCCAAAAAATAATTTTTGTAAAATAATACACTGGTAAAATTTTCGTTTGCAGCTATACAGTAGTAAGCCAGTGTTGTAGTTCAGTTCACTAATAGAATGCAGCAGAAAAAAGTTATTTTTTAACAAAACCACACTATAGTAGC